CATTTTACAAGTAAGGAATCCGAAACTTGGAAGTTATGACTTGTCCAAGGTCATTCAATAGGAGAAATTGGAGCCAGGATTTGATGCCACACTTTCTGACTCAGAGTTGCCTGCTCTTTCTACACTGGTACTTGCATCAAAAACACAACAGTGGCTTTTATTCATTTCACTGCCCATTTTATTTCCATTCTACAGACACTTATTGAGCCCCTACAAATTGCCTGCTATCAGACCTGCCCTGGGAAGGCAAAGATTGTTTAATCCCTGCCCTGAGTTCAGAGTTTAGTGTGCTAAATGTAAGATTAGCTCTATTTATTTGGAATACTCAGGAGCACAGAGGAGGGCCACCTCCTCTAGAGTAAGGTGTAGGACGTGTCAAAAAACACTCTGGAAGAGATCATGCCTTAGCTGGGTCTGAAACGATGACTTAGCCAGGGGAAAGGGAGGGAATATGAGTAGTAGCAGAGATGCATGGTAAATGTAGAAAATTTCAGGCTCTCAGAGTTGCTGGAGGGTAAAGCGTGAAGCAGGGAACGGCCAGGAATCAGGCTAGAATATTTAGTAGCTACCAGGTGATACCATATCCTACCAGCAGAACTCTTACCAGGCCCCCTCTTTTAGGGACTGTTAGGTCAGTTATCCATCCTTGGTCCAATAAGCTATAGTCAGGGCAGAAGAATTACTTGGTGCAAAGGACAGTGATCTGTTCATAAGGAATTGCTCAGAAGGGGCAGTGGGCAAGTGGGCATGCCTTATACTCCGAGGTTTCCTAGTGGGGGTAATGTCACTGGAAGGCTGGCTCGCTGCATAGTTGGTCCAGGACAGAGGCATAGTAGGAGCTAAGGCTAGCTTGGAGATAGTGAGTTTTTAGTGGCATCGTCTGTTCACTTAAGTGGTCTTCCTGAACACGTGGGAGACCACATGGCCGAATAGACTGATGCCAGATCAACCTTTATAGCCTAAGCTAAACAATATTCTCAGGTGAAAACCATGTTTCAGTTTTATCAAGGAGATAAAAACAGATTTTTGTTGTAGATTCTACTACCTCTGTGAAACATTACTGACCACTCTGGGCTATCTTAAACTTTCCCTTATCTATATTCCCAGAACAACTGTAATTTCACATATATATTGAGTGCTTACTAAAGTTTAGACACTACGGTAGATGTTAAGATAGATATAGCATTACACCTTCCCCAAAAGCTTAAGGGCCAATGGGAGCAGTAAGTATGCATTAGTAGGTGGACAAACTACTTTCCCAACCTTATTTTTCGCTACTTCTAATCATATACGAGCCAGATTAAATCTACTTAATGGATACCCATTGTGTTCTTATCTCCATGATATTTCTCAGGCTTTGGTTCATACAGTACCCTAGCTCCCCAGCACCTCCAAATCCAAATCCTGTCTACCCACTGGGACCTACCATATTCCACTTCTTCCATATAACTTCCCCTTATTTCTCCAGGTGATGTAACCTTGTCTTTTTCTGAAGTCCTGAAATTAGTTCCTATATACCTCTCTAAAATAATACCATATTACCAATTCTAAGATGCACATTTTTTTCACATTTTAACATCCCTGTAAGTTACTCTTTTAAGATACTCTGTCATCAACATTCTTGAAAGGATTCAGAATGATACTCTGTGGAAAAACATGAACAACTCCAAGTCAAAAAGTAGTTCAGAAGAAAGAAGCATTAGGAATACCTTAACCAATTTATTTTGCATATTTTCTTTTTATGTGTACACTATGCTATATATGACAAAACCTGCCTAAGTAAGTCTTTTAAAAACTTCTTTAGTACAAAATAAAAATTTTAAGTGATAAAGCATTGTGTTATAGTTTAATTGGCAGCTTTTTTCTTAGTGTACATAAAATAATAATATGACTTACCATCAACGGTGTCCTAGATTCAAAGAAATGTATTTTGTGATTAAATATGCCAGACATTAAGAACACTTACCTCCCTAATTGTGTCATATATAATTATATTTAGTTTCCAAATCCCATAATAAACTATAAGCTCCTTTGGGGCAGAGTTTGTGTTTGCTTTATCTTTGATTCCCTTACAATACCTGGTATAGTGCTTTACAACAAATAGACATAAAACAAATATTTATTAAATAAATGGATTAGAACAAGAAAGTATTATATAGTAAGTTCCACAAAAAGTAAAGTACTGCATGAGTGAACATCTACTAGTACATTCTCAGTTAACTGCTTAACTGTATTTTTGCTAGAAATATATTTATATATGATATTTGGGCAGGTCCTTGGGCCAAATCTCAACTTAGGCGAGTGGTTTTGGAACCAACCATAAACAGTCCAAGTAGCATTCCATAAACTTGGGTCTGGTTTGCTGACTACATTTATGAGCAAATGTGGTGACTCATTCTGATTGAATCATACATAATAAGTAGTAAATAAAGCCTTTGCCTTGGAGAACAGATGACAGTGACTTTCCCTAGCAATGCTCAGATTGGACAGGAGACCAGATAAATGCCTGTCTCTAAGAAATACAGTACTTTAGGGGAGCCCAGTTGACTCAGCCGGTAGAGCACGCAACTCTTGATCTCGGGGTTGTAGGTTCAAGCCCCATGTTGGATATAGAGATTACTTAAAAATAAAATCTTAAAAAAAAAAAAGAAGAAAAGAAATGTACTACGACATGGATGGAACTAGAGGGTATTCTGCTGAGCGAAATAAGTCAGTCAGAGAAAGACAAATACCATATGATTTCACTCATGTGTAATTTAAGAAACAAAACAGATGAACATAGGGGAAGGGAAGGAAAAATAAAATAAGATAAAAGCAGAGAGGGAGGCAAACCATAAGAGACTCTTCACTGTAGGAAACAAACTGAGGGTTGCTGGAGGGGGGTGGGGGAATGAGGTAACTGGGTGATGGACATTAAGGAGGGCACATGATGTAATGAGCACTGGGTGTTGTATGCAACCAATGAATCACTAAATTCTACCCCTGAAACTAATAATACACTATATGTTAACTAAATTGAACTTAAATAAAAAAATTTTAAAAACAAAACCAAAAAGAAATGTAGTACTTTAAAAAACAGTTTTTGTTTTCTTCCCTCCAGTCAATCTCTATGCACCTATAATAAAAAACAGCCTAGGGAATTATGTCTATGTGGTATTTTCTAGGAGTCTTTACACTTATTCTTGGGCTACGGGAATAACAAGAAATAACATAAGCATTTTTTTTTTTCAGTCAGCTAAATAGTTTTACTTCTGATTCAAATAAGTTTGTTTCCATTTTTCTCAAATGAAAGGAGCAGTGCATTCTGTGTTTGCAAAATACTTGGCATGGGTAAGCACTGTGGTAGTCCACATTACTGTTCACCAGATATTCCCAGTTTTCTTTCTGGATACATGATACAATCGTATATCCTTTCCCTGGGGAGATGCCGTGTGGTCATGTGACTTTTTGTCCAATGAAATGAGACCAGAAGTGACATAAAAGTTTAAGAACTAGTACATAACTTGCCACATTTCCTTTCTCTTCTGAAGCAACTTTAGGTGTGCAGAGGAAGAGCCTCCTGTAGCCTAAGTCCCTAAGTGAGAGTAGCACAGAGCGAAGCCCCCATCTCCCTTAGTTGATCGGCTCATAGATAGATGTGGAACATGTTTTGTGCTACTAAGATATTGAGATGATAAGATAAACATAACCCAGTGTATCTTGATTAATACAGTCTTCACCCAAAACAGTGGGCTTTGGTGATAACTAAAAGAATATAAAAGATTTGACATGCTGATCTTGACCCAGTATTTCTTTCTCTTCCTTATGGAAATGTTTATTGTATATAGCTTTTATAAGATAATATTCATCTCATGGTGATTAGAAAGAGTCATTTTCCCAGCATCAAAATACTTTTCTTTGAATTAGAACTTTTTCTCAAGACATTTTGATATGCTTCCCTAAGATGTCCTTTCATTTGCCAACAATAGAATTGTTACTTGAAAGCAGTGACTGTCATCATTCATGCGTGCATTTATTCCATTATTCAACACACTTTTATTGGATGCTCATTGTTTGCCAGGTGCTAAGACTAGGAAATGTTTAAGGAGCTCTAGATAGTTTAGTGGAAGTGGTAGGAGGCAAGTAGGGGGCCAAAAACTGTAAACTACTTTGTTCTTCTGAAGTCTAGATGTTTCAGTAGTTTCATAAATGATACCTATTTCAAGATAGTTTAGCTACATTAAAACTTAAGTTTACAAGTAACGTATCCAAGGTGATATAGACCAAATTTTAACGCTTTTGAGACTACCAACACATTACCTTATACTAATTACATAATTCTTTTTTGTTTGTTTGAGGAATTTTTGTACGGGCATTGTAGGGTTTTTTCTGTTTTTGTTTTTGAGTTTTTGTTTTGGTTTGGGTTTTTTGTTTTGTTTTGTTTTTTTGCGGGGCGGGGAGCTCTTATAATAAAGCTTCTCTTCTCACTATCAGTATATTCTTTAAAATTCCTCTTCTCACTATCAGTATATTCTTTAAAATTCCTCTAATGCACTAAGTACCTTTTCACCTCAGGGCCCTTGCACATGCTATTCTCATTTCCTTTTCTCCCTTAATTTAGTTCAGGAAACTACCTACTGGATGCCCTTTTCTATTGAAACTTCTTCATAGAAAGGAATATGTTTTTCTGTTACACTGTTGTGTTTTTAAAACTCTGTTATCAAAGTTAGAAGTTTCTCTACCATAGCTGGTATAGAAAATGTTTAAGAAATAAGAAGTTAAGTGTTATCAAAAAGTTGAATTATCCCAGTTATCCTAGAAGAAAAAAAATTTTTCATCACATTACCAGGTGGCTTCAAGCAACTATTATTTATAAATTAAAAAATTAAAAGCTGGATTCTTGTTTTGGTCTTCATTATAAAAATCTTAATATCTTTTCCAGAGGTGGTGCAGAGGAGTAAGGAGACAGCAAAGTGCTCTTTTGGTTTTCTCTTCCATCACCTTCTGCCTTTTCATTCTAGGGGTTCTTCAGCAAGCGCCTGAAAGGCTCCATCAAGAGGACCAAAAGCCAATCAAAACTTGACAGAAACACTAGCTTTCGGCTTCCATCCCTTCGTAACGCAGATGACAGGTAGGAGTAAGCTTGGTTAAAACAGGGAAAGCAGTTTTGCTGTTTGTTTCTGTTTTTGTTTTAAATAGGGAATGCAGTTCTACAGTGGGTTTTGATAAGGCATTTTTGGTCATCTCTGACTTTGCATCAATGACAATGGAAAGATGCAATACTAAATTCACTTTTTTTTTTGTCTTGTTCATATTGAGGCAAGGTACAAAGTGTTGGCTCACATGCCCAGGCAGTTTAAGAATCTTACAGTATTGGAAAGTAAGAACTAATTTAAGTGCTGTTTCTGTAGAATTAAATCCTAGTGGTCAGAGATGTCTTTCTTTTGTAGAATGACTGTAGGATGATGATGACAATAGTAAACATGTCTTGAGCACTGCACTAGATGCTTTATATACATTAGCTTGTTTAATCTTTATAGTAACCCTATAAGATAAATATTATTATCGCCACTTTGTAGATGAAGAATCCGAGGCACAGAGAGATTAAATAATCTTGCCCAAGGTCATACAGCTTAGTAAATAGCAAAAATGGTATTTGAACTTGAGCAATTTGGCTGAAGTCCATGCTGTTCACTGCTCCATTGTTCTTTGTGTACAGCATATGGAATCAGTTGTATTGGTTTGCAGTCACATCTAGAAAACATGTATGAAAAGGAAGATTTTGATTATTAGGACTATCAGTTTGAGTAACCCTCAAAAGTGTAGCTCTTTAGGGATAACAACCTTGTAAAATCGTTGAATGTTTTTAGAACACATTTTTAATACTTCGTATCTCCACATTGTTCAAAATTTAGGAAATGGTACTTGCTGTATTTTGACACATCACCAACATTTACTGAGTGCTTACTGTTTGCCAAGCATTTTTAATGTAGTCTCTCATGTACTACAACCCTAGATATGGTTATTACCCTCATTTTACAGATGAGGAACTAAGACAAAAGAAATTGAGAAACTTGCCCAAGGTCACACAGCTAGTAGGTGGTAGAGCTTGGATTTGAAGTTCTGTCTGCCCTTCATATCTGATACTCTTATTTATACTGGATTTTTTTTCTTTTAGTAAGTCCATTATTTTCAGTTATCTACATAACAAGCAAATATAGATTACAGCCTCTGTAATGGCGCATTATAGATTTGCCAGGCAGAGAATTCCTCTCCTTTTTTAATGGATGAAGTAACTTGTCCCCCATACTTAGCTGATGAGACAGTATACTGCTTTATCAGCGATTCTTATCCCTGAACCACTTTAGAGGTGCTCTGTGAAATTTGCAAGTCTGTCCAATTTGCCGTGTAAAAGTTGTGTTGTTAATTATCTCTTTTATACCTCTTTGTTTTAAAGTAATCATTAAAAAGCTGATTGTTTTTCCAAGAATTAAAAACATTTTAAAGTCTCAATAAAATGGAATGACAAATTTTTTCAAAATACTGGTTTTTAAGAACAAGGACATTGTACAACCTCTGAAACACTCCCAGTTCAGTAGCCACTTTCTTAAACTCTGCAGCATCATGTGTATGTTTGGGTGACAAGGAAATAGTTTTTATAGGAGTACTTTATTTTTTAAACTTGCACTAAATACCACTTTCATAATTTCGAATTGCTCCCTCCTCTTCCATTTTGCTTTAGGTAGCCTAAAGGAATGCTTAGATTGAATTACCACTAGATTGTATTCTCCTAGAGTCTCCTATATGCTATTATATAGCTAGTGCACTTTTATTTAGCCTTTCCGATGACCTAAATTCATTATGTGTGCCTTCTATGCAGTTCTGCTTCAATCAATAGTATCTTTGTATCTCAAATACAGCATAATAAAAAGGTGCCAGTAAATCTCAAAATATTTATATTTTTCAAATCCATTTGAATTATAGAAGTTTCTTATACAGAAAGCTTTCAAAAACTTTATTCTTCCCATAAAGGGATATACTCACTAGAGTTTGAATATATAATGTTTTTTTTTTAAACAGGCTCTCTTGCCTTCAGATCATCTGAAGATGCATATAAATAGAATTAAGGTACAAGATATTAATCAACTGAGTTCTTTGAATCAGTACCCTTATGGGTGAGACCAAAGATTTTTTTCAAAAACTGTGGTTTTCTTGGGTTATATGCATTGATTGCCCAAGTCAGGCCATTTCTTCCAAAATGGTATATAGTGTCTAAATCTCAGTAGCAAAACATTTCTGTTCTTATGTCAAATCCGTAGAAACTCTAGGCAGACCTAGTAAGCAACCCTTTTTTTCAGTTTTTAAATTATACAGTAAAATGCATATGTCTTTGTTTTAAAAACTTTCAGTACAGGGGCACCTGGGTGGCTCAGATGGAGCCCAGCGCTGGGCTCAGCACTCAGCAGGGAGTCTGCTTGAGATTCTCTCTCTCTCTCTCTCTCTCTGTCCCTCTGCCACTCCCCTGCTTGTGTGTGTGCACAGGCTTGTGTGCACTATCATTCTCTCTCAAAAACAAATAAAATCTTTAAAAAAAATAAGTTTTAGTACATAAGTACAGATCAAAAAGCTGAAGTCCCCTTCACCCTGCCCATCTTTCCATACACATAACCTCATGAGCAGTTTGTATATTTTCACACCTCTTTAAAAATCCATACATAAATGCACACATATATATGTTTTGCTTATTTTCATATAAGTGGAATCATATTACACATATTACTGTGTGATTTACTTTTTAATACAAATATTTTGGACAACTTTTATGTCAGTACATGTAAATCTACATTATTTTAACAGCTGCCTTCTTGGTATGCTACAGTTTTTTGTAACATATTCCACTTCTATGATAGATATTTTAATTGTTTCCCACTTTGGGGCACAAACTACCGATAGAGTGGACATTTCTGAACATACACCTTTTTTGTCCTTATGTGATTGAGTCAGATTTGTGAAGTAAAACTACTAGATATAGCATATGCACATTATCAAATTATCCTTCAAAAAAGCTGTAGTAATTACCATTTCCACCAACAGACTAGGATTACTTTTATCTTTTGGAGCTGGACAAGAGGCTTGAACTCACGACTCTGAAATCAAGAGTAGGAGGCTTAACCAGCTGAGCCACCCAGGCACCCCATGGATTACTTTAATCTTTTAAATAACATTTTACATTGTATCAATGTGATGGAATAAATACTAATAATAAACACCTATATAGTATTTACTATGTGCCAGACACTGTTCTAAGCATTTTATATAAACTAACTCTAATCATCACAACAAATCCTATGGGGTAGTTACTGTATTGACCTCATTTTGAGGATGAGGAAACGGAGACACAGAGAAATAAGTAAATTGTACAAGGTTAGAAAATGGCAGACCTGTGGTTCAAATCCAGGAAGTCTGGCTCTAGAGTCTACATTCTTAAACTCTATGCTATATTGCCTCTCAAAAAAAGATGCAGGGGATGCATTTTTTTGTTTTGTGGTTCCCTAATGTCTAATAAGTTGAACATCTTTTCACTTCTTCTATGACTTGTTTATTTATTGCTTTGCCCATTTTTCTATTGAGCTGTTTTGTCCTTTTTTCCCTGATTTGTAGTAGTGCTTTATTATTACTAGGGATTGTAAGCCACTATTATGCATGTTGCTAAAATTATCTCCCAGTCTATTTCTTGTCTTTTAAAAATCATGTCTCTAGGGGTGCTTGGGTGGCTCAGTCACTTAAGCATCCAACTCTTGATTTAGGCTCAGGTCATAATCTCTGGGTCATGAGATCAAGCCCCATGTCCGGCTACACGCTCAGCGGGGAGTCTGCTTGTCCCTCTCCCTCTGCTCCTCCTTCCACCTGCACACACACACACACACACACACACACACACTCTCTCTCTCTCTCTCTCTCATAAATAAATAATGAAAAATTAAAATCGTGTCAGTAAATTTTATAGAAGTGTTCGATTTTCTTTTCTTTTTTTTTTAAAGATTTTATTTATTTATTTGACAGAGATAGCGAGAGCAGGAACTCAAGTAGGGGGAGTGGGAGAGGGAGAAGCAGGCTTCCCGCTGAGCAGGGAGCCCGATGTGGGACTGGATCCCAGGACTCTGGGATCATGACCTGAGCTGAAGGCAGCCACTTAACGACTGAGCCACCCAGGCGTCCAAAGTGTTAGATTTTCATTTGGTCTAATATGCCAATCTTTTTCTTTATGACCTACCTCAACAAATTTGACCAGAACACAAAAGAAGTCAGAGATCTGTTTCTCATTACATTTCTCATTATGATCCTGTGCAAATCACTTCATCTCTCCCCGCTTCAAGACGAAGAGAGATTCTATCTTGAAGTATCAGAGAATAATGCAGTAGTGATCATGATAGGAGTTCTTACAGGTTTTTGATAACTACAAAACTTATCTGCACTTATAGCATTTTAAAAAGGTAAAATTTTGGGCGCCTGGGTGGCTCAGATGGTTAAGCGTCTGCCTTTGGTTCAGGTCATGATCTCAGGGTCCTGGGATCGAGTCCCGCATCGGGTTCCCGGGAGCCTGCTTCTCCCTCTGCCTCTCTCTCTCTCTCTCTCTCTCTGTCTCTCATGAATAAATAAATAAAATCTTTAAAAAAAAAATAAAAAGGTAAAATTTTCTCATGAGGTCTGAGTTACTGCTTAAGATGACTGAGACACAGTTTTAAATGAGTTTTGCTAAATATGATCAGTAAGCTTTTCTGTGCAAAATACAATAGGGTATTTTAACATGCAGACTTGACTGATCAGAAAGACCCTCGCAGCTCCAGGTTTGTCTAGCCAATGATCTACTGGTCATAAACTCTGCTATAAGGCTGTGGTGGAATTTGGTTACCAGTGTTGCTTTTTGGGTCTGTTTATAGTAGTCCTTAAACTCAGAATTTCCTTTATGAAATTGTGGGGCACAGGCATACGAAGTAAAGCTTTTGCCAATTAATATTTCTGGAAACCAAATTTCTTGATATACAGTAACATGTGTGATGGTTAGGTACATTCCAGAAAGCTATGTGCTACAAAGGAATGTAGAGAACTAAAGACATGGCCCCCGACCTC